CAAACAACAATTAGCAGAAGGACATATACAACCTTCTGTATCTCCCCATAATACTCCCATTTTTGTCATCAAAAAGAAATCTGGTAAATGGAGATTATTGCAAGATTTAAGAGCCATTAATAATGAGATGGTTATTATGGGACCTGCTCAATCAGGGATTCCTCAGTTGTCTGCTTTGCCAAAAACCTGGTATGTTTTAGTTATAGATATTAAAGATTGTTTTTTTTCAATTCCAATTCATCCTGAGGATAGTCCACGTTTTGCATTTACTATCCCTGCACTGAATCATGAAGGTCCTGATCAGAGATATGAATGGAAAGTACTCCCTCAAGGGATGGCTAACAGCCCAACTATGTGTCAAATTTATGTTAACAAAGTAATCCAGCCACTTAGAAATCAAAATCCTGAACTACAAATATTTCACTATATGGATGATGTATTATTAGCACACAAAGATAAAAACACATTGCTAGAATGTTATGCCACACTTACAAACTTATTAAAAAATTATAATCTAGAGATAGCAATAGATAAAGTACAATTAAATTTTCCAATTAATTATTTAGGAGTTCTATTATCCTCAACCATGGTCCGTCCACCAAAAATTCAAATACGAGTAGATCAACTTAAATCACTTAATGACTTTCAAGAGTTATTAGGAGACATAAATTGGATAAGGCCTTATTTAGGTATACCAACAGGAGAGTTGGGACCTTTATTTGATATCCTAAAAGGTCCATCAGATCCAAATTCACCCCGAATGTTAACACCTGAAGCAAGAAAGGCATTAAAAATCATTGAAACATATATGGAAAATATGCATTTGGATAGAATTGATATAAGTTTGCCTTTATTATTTATTGTACTACCAACAAAAAATATTCCTACAGGAGTATTTTGGCAAGAAGGTCCATTATTATGGATACATTTATCTTATTCTCCTAACACTATTCTTACTAGGTATCCTGAGGCTGTAGGACAATTAATACTCAAAGGAATAAAAGCAGCAAAGGGAGTGTTTGGAATTTCTCCCAATAAAATTATTACTCCATATACTATGAATCAAATTGATGTTAGCTAATGAGTTAAATACTTGGGCAATAATCATGTGCAAATCTAATGTTTCATTTGATAACCACTTACCATCTAATCCTTTATTGTCTTTTTGGTCATTGCATCCTGTAATTTTTCCAAAAATGACAAGAAAAACACCTATCATGAATGCTCCAAATATATTCACTGATGGGTCAAATAATGGTACAGCAGCAGTCGTTACCCCTGATCAAACTTTTACATTTTTAGTACCCAAACAATCAGCTCAAAAGGTAGAGCTTAATGCAGTTTTACAAGCTTTTGTGATGTTTAAAGATTCTGTATTTAATTTATTTTCTGATAGTCAGTATGTAGTTAATGCTATAGTATCTCTTGAAGATGCTGGTAGGATTTCCCCTTCTTCTACTGTTTTCTCTTTGCTTTCCACTATACAAAGTCTAATCTGGGACAGAAAAGATCCATTCTTTATAGGACATATCAGGGCACATACAGGATTGCCTGGAGCCCTTAGTTTGGGCAATGATTTAGCAGATAAAACTACACATGACATACATATTTTCTCTACACTAGAAGAAGCTATAAATTTTCATAAAAAGTTCCATGTCAATGCTAATACTTTACAAAAGCGTTTTAAAATAACTAAGGAACAAGCTAGACAAATAATAAAACAATGTCAAAATTGTGTGACCTTTTTACCACAAGTTAATCTTGGAGTCAATCCTAGAGGATTGATACCTAACCATATTTGGCAGATGGACGTCACACACTTGCCAGAATTTGGAAAATTAAAATATTTGCATGTTACAGTTGATACTTCTTCTGGATTTTTGATGGGCTCCCTTCATGCCGGAGAAAAAACTAAAGATGTTATAGCTCATTGCTTACAAAATTTTGCCACTGTGGGTGTTCCAAAACAGTTAAAAACAGATAATGCCCCTGGTTATACTTCTACCTCTTTTAAACAATTTTGCTCAACATTTGGCATTACTCATATAACAGGAATCCCATACAATCCACAGGGACAAGGCATAGTTGAAAGAGCTCATCAAACTATTAAAATGTACTTATTAAAGCAAAAAGAAGGAATTGGGAAGGGGTATATATTCCCCAAAGATAAACTTAAAATAACCCTTTTTACTCTAAACTTTTTAAATTTGGATTCATCAGGACTTAGTGCTGCGGAAAGGCATATGTGTCCAAAAAATGTGCATAAGCCCAAGGTACTTTGGAAGGATATTCTAACAGGACAATGGAAAGGTCCTGACCCAGTAATTGTCTGGAGTCGGGGGTCTGTTTGTGTGTTTCCACAGGGAGAACAGCAGCCGATTTGGATTCCAGAGAGATTAACCAAGGTCCTGACCCAGTGATTGTCTGGAGTCGGGGGTCTGTTTATGTGTTTCCACAGGGAGAACAGCAGCCGATTTGGATTCCAGAAAGATTAACTAAAGCGATTTCTACAGACCAAAAAGAAGATGATTTGGCTCAAATCCATAACAACTGATATCCAAAACTCCAGTTTGGCTATTCTTACATCTGCAACAGAACCAGGATGCTTTTTTCAATATCTATTTTATTATTGCCCTTTGCCATATCATGAAGTTCTATTTTGTTTTTTGAGCTCATACAGACCTAGGTTAATGTTTTGCTGATCAGTTCTATTTTTTGACTATAGAGTTTTTAAGCATTGCAATGGAGATTTCACCTGTAAAAAGTTATAAGGCCTTTACTATAATGTTATGTGTTGTATGTATTATATTATGTGTGCACACTTGTGTTTTGTGTTATATGTTTGAATGTACGTATGTCCATATATCATATATGATGAGCGCTCATGATAAAATGGATCCAAATATTTTTTTTTCACGTGATTTATATGGTTTAATTTAAATTGGGTAAACAACTGTTGAGGATTGTTTTAATATGTAAACAAAAAAGAAGGTTAACAGATCTGTTTGTTTACTTTCACCTTTCCTTTTCATTATATTTAATAATTCTCTTAAAGACAATGTAAATTGTTAAGAAAATTGTTTTCTTTTAGTGCCTTCTGTAATGTTACATAATTTTTTCTTTAGCCATTATTGCCAGAATTCCTATCTTCATCCCAGTGCCGGTGAAGACAATGTAAATTGTTAAGAAAATTGTTTTCTTTTAGTGCCTTCTGTAATGTTACATAATTTTTTCTTTAGCCATTATTGCCAGAATTCCTATCTTCATCCCAGTGCTGGTGAAGTCAAAGATAAAACCAATCTACAGCTTCTACAATAGCCATCACTGAACTGCTTGCAGAACTTGCCTGGACACATTGTGAGCTCACCTGTATGCATTGTGAACTATCTGTTGGTGCAGCGACTTATGGTAGTGTTGGGGTATTTTTGCTGATGATGTCACCGGTGGTACAATTTTTCAAAGGAGCCCTCAATTGGCTTAATGTCATGCATCCTCCTCTACTAGTGATGGTCTAAAATTTGGGGGCCAACAGAGGTGAGGCAAAGAACCTCACCCCCCCACAGGTGCAAAGGCCTATCCACAAGTATGGCTGTATGCTGGACCGGTAGTCAGTGACGGGTATGATCCAATTGCAGTGGTACCAACCTAAGACAGGAGGCTGACGCCTAGAGGTCAGTTCATCCGATGACGGGTAAGGACCATATGTTGAATTGGACTGCCTAACAGGCACGGTCCCTAAGCCACATGCTTGTTGTTTAAACAGAGAGGGGGAGATGTTGAGAGCCACAGCCTGAGGGGCCCCAGCAAACTTCCAGCTGCCAGCAAACTTCCAGCTGCCGGCTGATGATTGGCTCACAGCAGCCCCAGCAACATCTAGCTGATTGGCTCCTCGGCCCCAGCAACATCTAGCTGATTGGCTCCTCTGCGGTGATGCTCATTGGACTGTTTCCCTGCCCTTTCAGACCACAGAGCTGCTCATTGGGGGACTTTTTTGGCTCCGCCCACGTGACCCAGCCAATCGGCCTCAAGAGCAGGAGGATTGTGGGAGGTGGAGAGAAGCTGGTGTGAGAGAGAGAGGCTTGGGGAAAGCCGGTGGTGGCAGTTGAGGCTCTGAGGGTTTTTCCTGAGAGACTATTTTGTTTGTCGTGTGTGGTTCTAAAAATAAAGTTAGTTTCTTTTGACAAGTGGCTCCTGATTGTGCCCAGCCAGACTGCGGCATATACTAATAAACATATAATTGCTATGCTTTGTTGAAGGCACTAGCCTTTTGCCATAAGACTGAAAAAAAAAATTGTATCATACAAACAAAAGGAAGACTAGCTGAAAACCAGATTATGAGACTTCAAATAGTCTCTGGTAAAAATAAAATTTCCAAGTTAGTTTGTAAATTAATTGTTTGAAACTTGAACAGTTTTTCACTGGGCCAATGTTATAAACTGTTCGGTTTCCAGATAAGTCCACAGAAATCTACTTAACCCATAATTTAAATGAATTTTAGTACCTTGCTTAAGAGATAAACTATTCACTTATTTAGAAGTTTGTTGTCTTTCTTTTCCTGAGGAACAGGTATTTAGCAAATTGGACAAAAAACTCCAGTCCCTAGAGCTAGCAACTAGATAAAGGAAGAAAGCCTTAAGTGGGCACAGAGTGACAGTTTGGGTCTTGGGAGAGATGGTCAGGACAACACAGAGTAAAATACAAAAAAAGTCTGTAACAGCATCAGATAAGAAAAAATGGATTCAACAAGAAGTGGGTAACTCTCATTGGGTAGGCATCTGTTGAGTCAGGGTGGTGTTACTGCTGTCCCCAAATATTAATTAAACTAAGAAACTCAAATTTGGATTTCAAGTAAAAGTTTGGAAAAGAAACAAAATAATACTGTAGGTCATCAGAATGGAATGTTGCCTATAATGAAAAAACAATATGGTGAAAAAGACTGGTTGGATAAATTGTTCAGTTCTTAATTCTAAACATGATGAACAAAAAGGCTGAAACAGAAAATGCAGCAAAAATTTCATTTACAAATTTAGAGTCCCAACGTTGTTTGGTCTGCCTGTTTGAAACTCCTGATGAAGTAGGTTGTAGAGAAAAGTCTCAGACTGAATCCCATCAGATAATTAGCTAATGATCCTTTGACTACATTTCAGGCTTTCCAAAACAGCCTCCATGTTACTAGATATGTCACAATCAATGTTCTTTTCCTGAAAGTGCTGAAATAAATGTTTTTGTATTCTTCTATCATTGTTTCTCTCTTCCATGTAACTATCTTTTCTCCCAATTTTGGTAGCATAAACAAAAGACATGTCAAATGCACATGGCAGGAGAAAGATGAAAATTTACATTTCATTATATTAGCAAACCAATAATATAACACTATAAACAGACAACAATTCTAGAAAAAGAACAGAGATTGTTTTTAAAAAATCAAGACTAATCACCTAACTTCTGTGGGCTCTGACACTAAAATCAACTTTAGTCCATAAACCTGGCAGGTTGTCTTAGCCTACAGACTGTATTTTTGGCAAAAAAAACTTCATCTGTGCCAAAACATATGCAGCAGGTAACTCCCTCTCTAACACAAGAAATATTTATCTGGATCTTTTAAAAACAGCAATATATTTTTATATTAATATATTAAGGATTATTGTATCATAACATGTTTATAATACACTTTTATATTATATAATAGCATACATTTGAAGGATAATTTAATCTATTATTAGTTTTGTTCTTCCAATATACCTGGAAAATAAAAAACAAATAAAATATGCCTGAAAAAAATTTAAGTATATTTGTAAGTGGGAATATTTAAGTGTTATCAAGTATTGTAAAATGTGTTTATTTAATTATTGTGGAAATGTAAATTAAAACTCCCCAAAATATACAATCCTCCCATTCTTCCTTTATCTGGAGAAGAACTAATGAGCTTGAGCTTTACTTTTAACAAGTTAGAGAAAGGAATCTTTTTACATATCTACTATATTAAAATGTCTATCGTTAGATGACTAAGTTTTTAAGTCACTAGGTTTCCTAGACACTTCAATGGAATCAGCAGTCATTGATCCAACCCCAACTCCAAGACTGGAACATCGTAATGATAGTTCCAAGGCAGAAATCTGACGTAATTCTTTACGACACAATTTTACAGGTGTGATACCATGAAGCTGTTCCACATTTCCCACTGGCTGAATTTGGGATGATGATCTACTGTGAGATTTTGTAAACTGATATTCATCTGTTTCTGTTTTATCCTCATTGCTTAACAGTTGCCCACTAGACGGTGCTAAAGAGCTAAAAATAGAAGGTAACTCTGGGGCATCTTCCCAAAGTTTTTGGGAATTTGGTTGTGTTCTTAAATTGCTTGAAGAACTGTTTACTTCTCTTTCTCTTGCACTTAATTTCATACTTTCAGTTCTGGATGCCCATTTAAATTCTTCTGAAATCACACCTGCCTCTTCAGGGTTCAGGACTCCATCTCCAGCATCATGATCTAAAAATAATCCCAAAACCAAAAATTCAGAGATCATTTCCTTCAAATCAGGTATTTTAATCATAATATCCTAACATAACTACATTAATATTACTCACTATGCTTGTTGTTTGTTTAATGTTTCTTTTAGAAACACAATGTGTGAGTATTAATTAATCCACTTATTCCCTGAAAAACTTGGAATCTCTCTATTTGTGTTTCCATGCCTGCCCTCTGCTTAGCTTGTTGCTAGAAAATTTCAAATCCAGCCAAGTGAAAATTTCAAATCCAGCCTCTGTCTTCAAGGACTTGGCATTAAATGTATAAAAAGCTGGTCTTTGGTTGGTTCTCCCAGCATGACAGAAAGGTTCTGATATCCAAATGTACTCAGGGGTGTGTGCCACAACTTCCACCATGGAAATGAAGATGACAGTATACCCTCTCAGTAAGGAACAACCACTGGAATGAGTGATTAGAAGTAAGTGAAAAGACCCAGCTATCCTACTCCTTGGTTTTTACCCAAAGGACTTAAAATCAATGTTTATAGCAGCTCAACTCACGATAGCTAAACTTGGAACCAACCTAGGTGTCCTTCAACAGATTAATGGATAAAGAAAATGTGGTATATATACACAATGGAATATTATTCAGCTTTAAAAAAGAATGAATTTATGGCATTTGATGGTAAATGGATGGCACTAGAGAATATCATAGTAAGTGAAATAAGCCAATCCCAAAATACCAAAGGCTAAGTTTTTTTCTCTGATATGCAGATGCTAACTCACAATAAGGGTGTGTGTGCGGGGAGGCGGGGGGACTAGGGAAAAACAGAGTTACTTTAGGTAGAGGGGAGTGAAGGGAGGGGAGGGAGTAAGGGGGGGTAGGAAGGACAGTAGAATGAATAAGACATTATTACCCTATGTACATATATGACTACACGACCAGTGGGATTCTGCATTATGTACAACCAGAAAAATTAGAAATTATATTCCATTTATATATAATGTATTATAGTGCCATGTATTATACTGTCATGTATAACTAATTAAAACAAATTTTAAAAAAGAAGTGAAGAGATCAAAGCTTAGAAATCGTCAAATCATAATACCTATCATTAAAGACAAAACTTGCTTAAGAGAAATACATATAGGTACTAAATCTAATATGATGAATGCAAACTTCAACATATGACAATACATACTTAATATACTTTTAGTTCTTTGAAGACAAAGTTGCATAGTGACAGACCCCAATTCAAATCTGACCCCCAGATACATTTTATTTGGTCTTTAATGTTAATAATTCTTGACACAAAATTTTAAAATTAGAGTTTCATATAAAATATAGATTTTCAACTTTTCTATAAAAATTAGAAGAGCTAAGAATTTGTGCATAGCAACAGTAGCTGAAAAATTGCCCCTACTCATATAGATGACAACTGTAAAGCCCTCTAATTCTCTTTGGCTTCCTGGTTCCTATAGGCATTCTAGCTTGTAACCTTGGTTTAAAACATTGATTTTTCAGGTTTTGAAGTCCCTCAAAAATAAAAAAACCTGAACTAATAAATGACATAGATCTTCAAATGGAACTAGAGCAGATAACAAGTTGATCATAGATAGTGGCCCCAAACTCTAACTATTGCACATTAGGGTTACCAAGAAGCTTTAAAAAATTCTGCTGCCCAACTCCGAGTGTCATTTTACTTGTAAAGATTTTATGTGAAAGAGCAGAAATGGACCTACTGCCGAGGCTCACTCTCAGGTTCACTTGGATTCTTTATAATAGGAAGTTTCCCACTTGCAAGTTTAAGTTTCCCATTTAAAAATGAAGAAGCAAAACTAGGGAGAGATTAATTTGCCCAAGTTCACACAACTAGTAGAAGAAGTTAAGATTCAAGGGCTGGGAGTATAGCTCAATGGTAGAGCACTTGCCTAGTATGCTTGAGGCTCAAGATTTGATTCCCAGCATTGCCAAAAACAAACAAACAAGGTCTTTTTAAATATTTTTTTAGTTGTTGATATTTATTTATTTATATGTGGGCTGAGAATCAAACCTAGTGCCTCACAAATGCTAGGCAAGTACTCTACCATCGAGCTACAACCCCAGCCCAGGATTCCTTATCTTATATATAGTTTGATAGTGATTTAAATTGGTACAAGAATGGTATTTAAATACTTAAGTGGAAGTGGAAATATTGAGTGGCCATATAAAATTTTATCCTCAAAGTATGTTAAGAAACATATTAACATCATAACTATGACCAACAATTGAACAAGACATTTTACTTAAAATTAATTTTTCTATTTGGAAAAAAATTAAAAGAAGATAAATATAAATCTCATAGGCAGACAACAGAGACTACTATTAAAACCAGTGAATTAAAAGTGGGGTACAGTGGTTTATGCCTTAGTCCCAGTTATTCTGCAGGCTGAGGCAATAGGATTGCTTGAGCCCAGGGGAATTACTTAAGCCCATAAGTTTAAGGCCAGGTTAGGCAATATAGCAAGAGCATGTCTCAAAAAAATAAAAAGAAGACATTTTGGGGAACTCAGAATTTGATATATTTCAATTACTATATGTTATAATTCAAATAGACTTCATTTAATGTTACAAAATTATATCTTGAGATAGGATAATCCTAACATAAGCTCTATCCTTAACATCACTGAAACTATTTTTAAAACAGGATGCAAAAAAAAAAAAAAAAAAAAAAAGAAAATAAGAAAATAATTATGCTAAAATGTAGGTAGATTTATGGATGATTTGTTTTCTGCATTTTCAAAAATTTGTATGACAATGTTATATAATGACATGTTATAGCCAAAAACAGTATTTAAAATGTTTTTAGGTAGAATGGCAAATTAGTGAAATAATATGTTCAACATTATTATCAAGACTAGACTTCTTGGGCAAGTTGGTCAGATAGGTGTGTGTTAGATAGGTGTGTGTTGCATTTTGCACCTCCCCAAGATTATTCAACTTTTTTTATTGTTTCCTTAAAAGACAGAATGAAGGCTGTAGCTCAGCCCACAGAGTACTTGCCTAGCATGCATAAGGCACTGAGTTCGATCCTCAGTACCACATAAAAATAAACAGATAAAATAAAGGCATTCTGTCCATCTATAACTACAAAAAAAAAAAAAAAAACAAAACACAGAACGAGAATCAAGGTTTCTGAAATCTGTGTACCACCATACCACTCTGTCATTTTTCAGAAAAAATGTCTAGTAGACTCAGGAGTATAAACACGGGCCATTTACAAACCAGAAGTCTAATTTCAGTTATCTCAAAATTGAAAGTGGGGGATGGGTCTGTGGCTCAGTGATAGAACACTTGCCTAGCATGTGTGAGGCACTGAGTTCGATCCTCAGCACCACATAAAAATAAATAAATAATATAAACATATTGTGTCCATCTACAACTAATAAAATATATTTAAAAAAATTAAAAGTGGGTGAGATTCTTTTGTTTAAGTGATGGGGATTGAACCCAGGGTCATGTACATGATAAGCACCTTGTACATGATAAGCTACCACACTTAGCTATAGAGTGGGTTTTTTTAAAAGGCTAAAATGGTTTTATGTTAATTGCTTTTTCTTTCTTATTTAATATCTGTTTACTTTTCATTTAAAAAAAAATTTTCAGTACTGGAGAATGAAGCCAGGAGTGTTCTCCTTCTGAGCTACATCTCCAACCCTTTTTAACAATGTTATTTTGAGACAAAGTCTTGCTACGTTGCCCAGACTGGCCTGGAACTTATAATATTCCTATCTCAGTCTTCTAGGAACCTGGGATTAGAGGCATGTGCACCTGGCACTTTTTAATTTTTTGCAAGTAATATTTCAAGTAAAAGTTTTAGTTACATATTTCAGGCATTGTTTTTAAGTAATGAGTTGTATAAATAAGCACCTCTGTACTACCACATTGAGAATCAGAAAGTTTAGTCTCCTTAGAAGGATTTGTATGTTTGTATCATATCTCTCTGTATCTCTGTCTCTGTCTCTGTTTCTCTCTTTTTTTTTGGTACCAGGGATTGAACTCAGGGGCACTCAGCCACTGAGCCACATCCCAACCCTATTTTGTATTTATAGACAGGGTCTCACTGAGTTGCTTAGTGCCTTGCTTTTGCTGAGGCTGGCTTTGAACTCATTATTTTACTTTTTAGTTGTAGTTGGACACAATACCTTTATTTTTTAATTTATTTTTATGTGGTGCTGAGGATAGAACCCAGGGCCTCACACATGCTAGGTGAGCACTCTACTGCTGAGCCACAACCCCAGCCCAGCATATATCTTTTCATTGCATTTATTTTTTTCACTGAACCCATCTTCTGTGCCCATCTTTAAGCAATTTCTTTTAAAGGTACAAATTAGGTCTATTACTGAAATTAGTGCATTATAATTATATATAGGGGCTCATTGTGACCTATTCATGTATGCCTACAACATAATTTGTTCCAATTAATTCCCCAGTATTTCCCCTTTCTCTCCTCTTCCTAAAAGGTTTTATTTAAAAAAAAATTTTAATTGTAGTTGGAACACAATACCTTTATTTTATTTATTTATTTTTATGTGATGCTGAGGATTGAACCCTGGGACTTGCATGTGCTAGATGAGCACTCTACCACTGAGCCACAACCCCAGCCCCTTCCTAAAAGGTTTTAAAGCCAACTTTAAAGCCAACTTTTCATAAACCATTCTTAAATTGTTAGAATATGCTCCAAAGCAGAGTATTTCTTTTATAAAATATAGACTATTATTTTAGAAATATTGACTCCTCTTTATTTTGCTGACTTGAGGGTATATTTTAATCATAGCAATATATTACCTTCATAGCATTTCTTTTTACAGAATATTTTTGTCATGTTTGATAATTTCATTTATGAAGGTGCTAATTCTACTTATCTATATATAACTATGCAAAGAAACATCTTTATCTCAACAATGGGTTTTATTAATTTTTTTAATTTCCAAAAAGGCCAGGATATAAAAAGCCTTGATTTATCTTAGAATACACACACTTTTAACTTTACTTTTTGTATTATCCATTGTACATATTTTTTATGATAATGGAAGGCTTAATTTACCATAAAACAGGAAAATGACAGCTATCTTAAATTACAGGGTTACTTTAAGGATTAAGTGAGTTAAGGACTATAAACAATGGCACATGACAATCAATAAACAATCAAGGTGGTGCATGCCTGTAATCCAAGCTGCTCAGGAAGCTGAGGCAGAAGGATGATGAGGTCAAAGCAGCCTTAGCAACTTAGTGAGCCCCTAAGCAACTCAGTGAGACTCTGTGTCTAAATTATATATAAAAAAGGACTGGGATATGGCTCAATGGTTAAGCACCTCTGGGTTCAATTCTAGGTACAAAAAAAAAAAAAGCTTCCCACAGTTTTAATGGGTATTATTTTATAGTTTATAGATTAGTTTACAGGCCCTGTGTTGAATCCCCAGCACTGCAAAAAATATATATATTTAAAAATGTAAAACACAGGACTTTGTATTTTACATTTTAAAAAATATTTTAGATAGTTGCACTCCTCAACTATTAAGAAAAATAAGGAGTTTGTAGTGGCAAAATACAAACAGTTCTTGAAGTAAAATGAGTAGTTATATAGACACCATTTACTCTGCAGCTGATAACTGTATTTCAGAGATTCATCAATCCATTAAAGAATTAACTCCAGCATTTATACTACACAAGATTATCTGTAGCAACCTTTATTTGGAGTTAATATGACTCTTTGAAATATTACTTCATTCAGCCACATCATACTTTAATTTTCAAACGTGATCTAAATGTTCTAAATGTTCTCCATGATGAATAAACCTTTGACAGCTAGAAAAAAATAAATTTTAAAAATGACTATCTCCAACCCACAATAAAAAATTAAAAAAAAAATGACTATCTCCTTTACACATACGTATGTGTTCTTTCATTCATTCTTTCACTTCTTGCAGGGTTCTGTCTTATACATGGTGAAAAAACTAGTTTTATCCAGAGAGACAAAGAGAAGTTAAATGTCTCATCCTAAATAACCCAGTCACGGGGAAATCGGCATGATCTCACCAAATGCTAGAAAAACAGTGTTAGCATGACAAGTAACTTGTCTTACGTTCTGAAAATGCTAGTTGCCATTGAAATGCTTCCCGTGTCAGTTCTTTAAGTTTCTTCTTAAGATCCCTGCTGGTTTTCTTATAGAAATAAAGATCTTTTTCCAATTGCTGGATTTTATCTTCATATGTTTTATAAGTTTCTATAATGCTTTCTCCATCTTGTTCTATAAAGCAAAAATTTATAGTTACACTTGGTTTTAAATAAATGATTCAAAATTATATTTTAACTTGGCCCCAAACTATCTTTAAAGGGTCACATATCTATTACTTTACTTTAGATGTGTTTTCAGTTACAATTTGGATTCTTCTGCCCATAACATTTTTTTAAAAGACTGAGCCCTTAATCATTTTCTCTACCCTACCCTCAACAACCTCTATAACTACATGTTTATAAGTTTGCATTTTTTTGCAGTTCATATTAACAAGACTTATCCCTAGAACAGAAGAAGTAGGTGTTTCCTATAAAAAGTTCACTTTTGGAACTCTGTCCACAAGCTGCATTAATATCTTAAAGTTTATATCAGGCATTGTGGTTATATGGAAAGTCTTAAGAGGCCCTAAGAAACATTTTTTTGGCCTTAAGAGCAAAAAAAAAAAACACCCACCATCCCCCCCCCCACCACCCCACCACCTCCCCGCCACACACACAAAAAAAAAAAAACGTTAAAAGGGACTAGAGAAAGATAAAATCACATAAGAAAACACCACAGGAAAAGAAGGTAAATAGCCAGCATAAGTTCTAGTTTATGCCAAAATATAACTTAAAGCCTCTAATTACTATTTGTGAATGTCTAACACTGTTCTAGAACAGTAAAATCTAGTATACTGACTTTCAGAAGATACATACTTTTGGATCTACTCAGGAGGCATATTTATAAAATGGTCCTACTATTTGTTTTTGTTAATATCAGCTGTTTCCTAAAATTTTATTTAAGTATGCTTGTATAGTTTATCTTGTTATAACAATTGCTTAATGATATCATAAATCAGAATCCACAGAAAGTAGGGCTGGGGATGTAGCTAAATGGTACAGCACTTGCCTAGCATGCATGAGGCCCTGGGTTTGATCCCCAGCACTGCAAAAAAGAAAAAGAAAAAAAAAAAAAACCTCCATGAAGTATTAACTTATATCTAATCCAGCTGAAATTAGAAAATTCACAAATTGTTAACATTTTTAGTTACAACTTTGTTATGAAAAACTTGTAGTTTAGAAATGAATGATTTTTAAAATGTCTTTATTTGACTATGGCATGAACTTTTGATGTATAATCCTTGTCACTTTAAAGTTCTCTGCACACATCACTTTTAGAGACAACAGAACTAAATTAAGGTAAGGAGAGCATGTTTGAATGCAATAATGATGTTGGGATCCTGCCAAGGAAATCCTGTCATTAGTCAATTGGTTGCTAATTAACAATTATAGAATTAATTTCAAGGTAAGCTGCCTCAACACTTAAATTCAAATGTTCTCCAATTTTCTTCTTCCTCAGGTTACTTCTTCCAGATCCCTTTTGACCCATTTTCAGCTGTGGATTCATGAGACTCAAGAACAGTAACATTATCACCTGGCAGTGATTTTGTTGCCATGGCAGCTGGCCATACACCAGGTAATGTGAAGTCCACTTTTTGTGACAGCTTTTTTCTTTCTTCCTTTTTCTTCTTTTTTGTACTGGGAACTGAACCCAGAGTGCTTTAAGCCACATTCCCAATTCTTTTTATTTTTTTACTTGGAGATTGGGTCTCACTAAGTTGCTTAAGGCCTTGCTAAGTTGCTAAGGCTGGTCTTGACCTTGTGATCTCCTGCCTTACCCCCTCGGGAGTCGCTGAGATTACAGGTGTGCACCACTGTGCCTGGCTATGATAGCTTTCTTTTTGCATCAGAGATGACAGTTGAACAGATACTCATTGATAACTGTGCCTATCAATAGTAGTCTAGTTTTGACCTAGGATACATAACCTTAATGCATAAAATTTTACAATCAACTGAAAATTACAAGAAATATAACTAAGAATGTGACAAAATCTATCACTTTAATTTTGTGAAAGTAAAATAATTAAAGTATCATAGTACTATATTCCTAGGAGATAAAAAAATTTTAACTCTACACTTAAAAGCCAGACAAAATCTCCACATTTCAACATAAAAACTAAACCAACAACAAACAGGATTGTGGTGTGCCCTAATGGGGCAAGCAGAAGGGATGGCATTTCAAGCATGAATAGCCTCATATCAACTTCAGCTATCCCGAAACATAGTACCAAAACAGGTAAAGGGCAAAAATTTGTGCAAGTAGTAACTGCTTATACATTGGACTATTAAGAAATAAGTTCTGTCCCATTTTCCTTCTTAAATATTCCCCCATGACCTTTATACAACTGACAAAAAGAATAGTTACCTTTGAAATGACGTAATAGCAGTTGCACCTTTTGCTCATGTTCCTTTTGCTGGAGCGTCAGTCTCCGGTCACATTGCAATTTCAGATGTTCCAATGCAGATTCCAACTCACGAACCATATTATCCCGTTCCAGAACCTTCATTTTAATTTCTTCATTCTGTAACTGTTGTTTTCGTTCAGCTTCTCGCAAATTAACCACCTACCAAAGACATTTTTTTTTTTTTTTACTTTTTAAGTGTGTTTTAGATAGCCTAACACAATAGATTAATCTACTTTTCTTGGGTTTCATAAAGATGAGCTTCTTTGGGGCTGGGGCTGTGTCTCAGTGGTAGTGCACTTGCTTGGCATGTGTGGGTACTGGGTTCAATTCTCAGCACCACATATAAATAAATAAAATAAAGGTCCATCAACAACTAAAAAACAATGTTAAAAAAAAAAAGATGAGCTTCTTTAATCTCCACAGTGTAAGTGCTTCCTGAAACATACTGGGTCCCTAGGCAACTACTTTATAATATATCCACAAAATAATCTAATAGTTGGGCTGGGGTCATAGCACAGTAGTACAACAATTGCCTAACATGTGTGAGGCACTGGGTTCAATTCTCAGCACCACAGATAAATTAAAAAAAGAAATAATGAAAGTCCATTGACAACTAAAAATTTTTTTAAAAAGTAATCTAACAATCTTTTAAATGTGTCGAAATTCTGAATTGGTAATACTTTCATTTTATTATGTCTTTCTAATAATCACCCCTTCAAAACTTTTTAATTCCCTACTTTAACCCCAAAATGGATGTTATGAATAAGTGGCAGAATTTTTAAACTATAAACAAAGAGGTTCAGTTTCAAGCTTGTATTTCATCTGTTGGGTTCTTTTTTGATATGAAGTAAAAATACTTCAGACACAACATTAGTATCATAGAACTTGTCGATAATTTAATGACCTCCCCACCAGAACAATACTATTTCTACAAAGGATCAGAAAATCCACTGATCTTGGCTAGAGTATCTTGGGGTAAGAACTCTTGCTTCAAGGGTAGCCTAGGACAGTCCTCCATTATTTTCTGCCCTCCAAACACACAAAAATAGAATGCACTCTCATCAGTAACAATAGTTTACTACTGACTGATTATCCACAAAGAGATTGTATATAACATTTTCATCTTTATTTCATACAATTAGAACTTTTAAAAACTTCAATGTTTTGTGTTCACCAACTATCTGATATTCCCATAAACTGAACAGACTTTTCAGAGACAAGAGTTGTCTAACCTGCCATACTATGTATTTTTTTTTTTTTTTTTTTGCATCTCTGGAAATTTAAACCCAGGACCTTGTGCATGCTAGGCAAGTGCTCTACCACTGAGCTATATCCCTACCCCTGTAATATATATCTTAAGTGAAAAAGATATTAGAGAAATGATGTGATGGTTCTGAATGCTATGAAACGCCTCTGGATCACTAAACTGTCCAATTCATATAAAATATTTTAATTGATTTAAGCACATTCAAGTTAATAAAATCTATTATTGTCTTTGCCATTGATGCATCACTTCATCTCCATTTCAACTCACACATTATTCAAGAAAGTACAGGTTTACCTTGCCCTGTAGCATTGAAAGAACTAAATTTCGGAGAGACCTTTATTTTTCAGGAATGCTGCATAGCAACATCCAAATCTGGAACCAAAAAATAATAAGGAAGTTTGGTTTTTAAAACTATATCAAAGAGGCCTTCTATTGAAAGGCCCTATAATTATAAGCACCTCACAAAGGTAGGCTTACAAATTTGGATAATCACAAAGTTTCAGATGACAACATTCAGTAGTATAAAGAGAAAACATGCTTAAGCATGTAATTACACCATAAAATCTTTCAATCTTTCCGTTTCTTTAAAAATTCAACATAAATATGGGGAACATCTTGACCCCTATTGATAAGATAAATACTGTTCTTTCAAAACAATACCTTATTGAAATATCTGAAAAGAATAGCTCTAATATCAACAGGATTCAGGCAAGTTAATTTTTCCAAAACATTTGCTTCACTATGAGAAAGATTTTGGAGTGATGCTCTAAGCAAATTCTGGTGACTCCGGATACTTTCATTCTTGTATTCGATTGCAGCTTCCAAAGCTTCAATCCCTTCTTCAAGCTGGAAAAGAACATGTTCTTCCTAGATATAATACAACAGAAATCACTCATTTAAAATGAAATACTAAAACCTGGACTTTGTCATATACTCAGATCTTACTATGCAATTTGAGTTTAATGGACATTACTACTCTTTTACTATATTTTTTTAAAAATATTTATTTTTTAGTTGTAGTTGGACACAATGCCATTATTTATTTATTTTTATGTGGTGCTGAGGATTGAACCCAGGGACTTGCACATGCTAGGCAAGCGCTCTACCACTGAGCCACAACCCCAGCCGTTTTACTATATTTTAATCAAATAATGTTTGAGTGGATTATGGTAGCACAACCTGTAATCCCAGTGGCTCAGGAGGCTGAGACAGGAGGATCACGAGTTCAAAGCCAGCCTCAGCAAAAGTGAGGTACTAAGCAACTCAGTGAGACCCTGTCTCTAAATAAAATACAAAATAGTGTTGGGGATGTGGCTCAATGTTCAAGTGCCCCTGAGTTCAATACCCAGTACCCCTCCCCCATAATAATAAGAATGTTTTGAGTTCTGTTATGCCATACGATACTGTGTATGTGTGTGTGCATGTATATAAAACATATAATCATTGGGTCTTTACAGTAAATCTTGTATAATAAAATGGAATTGTTTAGGTGAGTACTGTAACATTCCAAGGTCATACAACAAACGCAAATCACCTAATCAAAGGAATAAACTGGAAGGCCTTAGTCCACAGAATTAGCAGTTCTGTCATCTTCCTCCACCATTCCTACAGTTGCAATTTATATATATTGTCACTAATGAGATCTAGAGACCCTTGTTGTCCCTCTAATGATCTTTTAAAATAATATACTGCTAGGAGAGAAATAAGAAATAAATTTAGAATAAATTATTAAGAACTAGGAATAATTGGGGATTAGCTCAGTGGTAGAGTACTTGCCTAGCATGGGCAGGGCCCCGAGTTCAATTCCTAGTTCTGAAAAAGAATTAGGATATCAAAGGAAAGGCTCTGGAGGGAAAATAATAGTATGGCTTAACAAAGGTACTAAAGATTTAAGGACATGAAACATTTCATAAGATGCCCATGAAAAATACAGGCATTAAAAATAGTGAGAGCAGCCAGTGCACACCTATAATCCCAGCGGCTCTGGAGGCTGAGACAGGAAGATTAAGAGTTCAAAGATAGCCTCAGCAAAAGCAAGGTGCTAAGCATCTCAATGAGACCCAGTCTTTAAATAAAATACAAAATAGGGTTGGGGATGTGGCTCAGTGAGTGGCCAAGTATTCCTGAATTCAATCCCTCGTACTCCCCCTCCCTGAAAAAAAAAATGGTAGAAGTGTATGATATTTTTTCACGTATCAGAGAAAATTTCCTTTGTAGGAAAAAAATACCAAAACAAAACAATGACTCCCTGTCTGAAAATTATCCAGTTCTTTGAACTATCCAAATACATGTTATTGGAAGTGGAGGGAATAAAACTTTCTGATAAGAAATTATTTGAGATTTGTGAGACCTGGATATGTTCCTGTATTCCTATACTTGTTGTAGAGGTCAAATTCCATAAACTAAATTCCAGATGGCAGATTGTCCTATACTTGTATCCTTACTGTGAGCATAGTACCTACCACATAGTTTAAACTCTGGAAGTGTCTACTGAATGAGTTAATGAAGAGGAAAAATTATATTTTCATATGTCTTTGGCTGTTTTTTCCTACTCTACCCCTCAGCATGACAAAGGAAAATAATGTGAATATTTCCGGTCTACCAAAGGATAGAGTGACTTCTGGAACTTCATTTTAGGAAATTCAAGAAACAGGTATGTAATAACATAGTCTAGTGGGAGGTTGGATAATACTTATTTTTAAAACCCATTTTATAAACTCTTCTGGAAAAATATTTTCAATATTCTCTTTCTCTTTGTAATCACTAACCATCAGGAATTCAATGATTTCATAATTGCTCCAAAAGGAACAAATATATTTATTCACCTTTTTAAGATGAAAAAAAAACTTTAAATAATGAAACTTTTTTAAAATGTTTTTTTTTTTTTTGTAGTTGTAGATGGACAGAATGCCTTTATTTTATTTGTTTATTTTTATGTGGTGCTGAGGATCGAACCCAGTGCCTCATGCTTGCTAGGCAGGCACTCTACCACTGAGCTATAGCCCCAGCCCAAATAATGAAACTTTTGAGTAAGCACTGAAATATGTATCTTTCTCTATAAATTAAACGAATGTTCTAGGCATAAAACATAGTTCAATTCTAAGAGTGAATTATCCAAAGAATATATTGGACTTTTAAATTTATACTGTGATTATATTTTACCAAATGTTAAGAGTTTGCCTGTATACATAGCTGTGGACAATTTAGTATAAATTTAGTTTCTGGTTTGGGAACTAAGTTAAGAAAATACAGAGCTAATATAAAGTAGTATAACTTCAGAGATGTGAGGATAGCCCACTCTACTGAGCCCACAGCTTATAAGTGGTGGTTTTCTCTAATTTAGCAAAGATGTAGGTTGGTTGACAAGATAAATGACCATGGGAAACTCTTCTGGGATGAAAAATTTACCACAACACAAACCACAAATTACTAAAAAGTTAACTGTGCTTTACAAAGTACATTGCTTTTCAAACTTTAATGAACAACAAGAACTCTGTTACAATTCAAACTCTGATTCAGCAGATTTGGGTGTGGCCTGAGGATCAGTACTTCAAAGAGGCTCCCCCATGTGATGCTGTTGCTGCTAGTTCAGAGACAAGCAACAAGGACCTAAAGTAGTGGTCTGCAAACATTCTGGATTACACATCCCTATCAGCAGAAAATAAAACAAAAAGCTAACAAAAACTTTTGAGTAAGCACTGATATATGTATCTTTCTCTATAAATCAACAAATGTTCTACACATAAAACATGAAATTGAATGTTTAAAAGATGAAATAAACATAATAATTCTTATATTTTCTTCCTGGATCCCACTTACTTAGTAGGCAACAAATAGCTCTGTACTATTAGAAAACTGGAGTTTCAAATAAATAAATAAATATCCTTCAACCCCCCCCCCCCCCAAAAAAAAAGAGAGAGAGAACTGGAGTTGCCAGGCGTGGTGGTGCCTGCCTGTAATCCCAGCAGCTCACGGGGCTGAGGCAGGAGGATCTCAAGTTCAAAGCCAGCTCTAACAACTTAGCAAGACCCTATCTCTAAATCAGATATTTTTTTAAAAAGGGCTCGGGGCTGGGGTTCAGTGGTTAAGTGCTCCTGAGTTCAATCCTTGCTACCATAAAGAAAGAAAACTGGAGTTTATCCTGCCATCTGCAGCAACATGGATGGAACCAGATGACTATTAAATACGCAAAACACAGAAAGAAAAATATTGAACATTAACATTCATTTGTGGAAACTAAAAACTGATCATACAGAAATAGATCATACTGTACCTGTCACTGTATGCTAGGAAGGGTAAGTAGGAGAGTTGACTAACAGATACCAAAATACAGTTAGATATAGGAATTAGTTGTAAGTTTCCTTAGATCACAGTATGATACTTAGCCTACAATAATTTATTATCCATTTGAAAATAACTAGAGGAAGAGATATTATAATATTTGAGATGTAAATGCTAATTATACTGATTTAATAATTGCACAGTGGATTCATGTAGAATAAATATAATATTTATTTATTCATTTGTAAATAAGAATATGAGAAAAATAAATATGCATCAAATAAAACAGAAACCTAGAGTTCAAATATTCTTTTTTTAAAATTTTAGTTTCTGAATTTCAAAAAAAAAAAAAAAAAGGAAGTGATCTGTCCTTAGTAAATTGTTAGGTAATCCTCTATTAATACAGTGATCTATTAGTAAAGTAATACAATTAGAAAAAACATTTTAATTTATTGTGGAAAGAGAAAATAATTTTAAGTAAGTTTAAAGACATCAAGATAGCAAATCATTCCACCTAGATTTTACTGGTCTTGTGTTACTTTAAAAATCTCATGTTTCTAGTCATCTCCTACTGGCAAATCTATTTGGGAATATTAATCTTGATTTTCAAATAGTGGTAAGAGCAGAGCCAACTTCAGAGCTAAACTAAGGAGAACAACCATGCAAAGGAAAAGTATACAGGAGTTCTCAAGACTAAATGGAACCCTAACAATTGTGGGAGGCTCATCACTCCCTCAAACTAATCTAGAATAGCTGCTAATCAGGTATTATGTTTGGTGCTATATTTTCACCACAGATCCATAAATAGTTTTGTTTCAGAACTTCACATGAAATAGAAGCCTTAATGTTTCTTGATAAGGGACCTCTACTCTTCTCCAAACATAATTTGCTTATTCTCATCACTGTGTCTTATTTAACAATGTTCTGTCTAAACTGGACTTCTGTCTTATATCTCATAGTACATGTCATGTTTTTTTTGTTTGTTTTTTAAGTTGTAGGTGGACACAATACCTTAGTTTGTTTATTTATTTTTACCAGGTACTGAGGATCAAACCCAGTGCCTCACATGTGCTAGGCAAGTGCTCTACCACCGAGCTACAGCCCCAGCCCATGTCATGTTTTTTTATAATCCAGCTCAAAATCCACCAAGACTGCCTTACTCCATCTTCTCACAAACCATCACTGCACTGCTTTGCATAAATAATGTAATGAGGATAGCTTAACTACGTTATCCGTAACATGCTTTTTTTATGTTCTTTGGAGTTTTAACATTTCTTAGATTTCCACCTCTGGAGAATTTTTCTTACATTTCTATCTCTTTATGAATTTCGCAAGGGAAGCATGATACTTTCTACTTTTCTTATTTCCTTCATGGGCCCACTAGCAGTCGTGGATCAGCAAAATTCCTTAAATACTTAATGTTTTCTGCATACTTTGCTCTCACACTTTCAAATGTAGGGCTCCAATTTAACTGCTTAGGACAGCTAGGTTCTGTGAGCCTCTGCATAGCTACCTAAGGTAAGTTATAAAACAGGGCAGTAGAAGTAGATAATATTCCTCCAATCAAGTTAGTTTTAATTACTTGCATCAATTCAGTGAATAATAGTCTAATTTCATGCTGCCCTTTCTCTTGTTTCTTCTTTACTAGTCCCCTTACTTCCTCTTTCTTGCCTCCAATCTAAAACATGACAAAAGTCAACAAAGCATGTAATTGGAGCTGGGGATGTGGCTCAAGCGGTAGCGCGCTCGCCTGGCATGCGTGCGGCCCGGGTTCTATCCTCAGCACCACATACAAAATGAAGATGTTGTGTCCGCCGAAAACTGAAAAATAAATATTAAAAAAAAATTCTCTCTCTAAAAAAAAAAAAAAGGTGTTCTAGGAATACTACATGATGCTATTATTAAAACAAGTTCTTTAAAAAAAAGCATGTAATTTCCAGCAACTTAATATAATTTTCTCTTGCTTTGATAATGACAGGACATAAATAACAAGTAATTGCAGATGATTGGTGTTGTGGCTCAGTGGTAGAGTGTTCACCTAGCATATGTGAGGCACTGGTTTTGATCCTCAGCATCACATAAAAATAAATAAATAAAAAAGTTATCATGTCATCTACAACTAAAAAAATATTAAAAAAAAAAAAAAAAAACAATTGCAGGGCTGAGGTTGTAGCTCAGTGGTAAAGCGCTTGCCTTGCACTCGTGGAGCCCTGGGTTTGATCCTCAGCACCACATAAAAATAAATAATAATAAAGATATTGTGTCCATCTATATATAAATATATATATATAAAAACAACTGCAGTGAAAATCAGGCTCAAAAATTCACCTCTGTCCAATAAAGTAAGGTACAGGGATCATATCAACTGAAATAAAAATTTTTAAAAAGATGTTAGTCTGGCTGGATGTGGTGGCACATGCCTATAATCCTAGCTATTTGAGAGACTGAGGCAAGACTTGATATTTTCAAGTCACAAGTTTGAAGCCAGCCTTAGTGAGGCCCTGTCTCAAAATAAAAAATAAAAAAACAACTGGGGATGTAGTCAAGTGATAGGGTTCAATTCTCACCATACTATGAAAAAAAAGATAATAAAATACATAGTCTTTGACAATTTGATAGCCAATGAATGAATCATCTTTATATAGTTCTTAAAAATGGAGGTGAGAGGAGTCATATGTTCTCCTAAATAAAAACTATAACAAAAGATATTTTACTAGGATTTGAATTTCTCTATGTGTTCAGACATAGTGTAGAATATGCTCTCAAACATCAGTCCTTTCTCAACCAAGCTTCCATGGAAAAAATTAACCTTTGTTTTTATTTATTTTTATTTTTAAAATTTTTTATTGATGCATTATAATTATATATATATATATATATATATATATATATATATATATATATATAAAGTTGGATTAATTACTTCCCTAATAGTGGGATTCATTATTAACATATCTGTAAGAATTAACCCTTAAGGTCCTACTATCATTTACATTCATAGAGAGAAGGCAGGTGCCCTTCTTGGAACAACTGAGAAAAGAGTCCCTCAAATCATATTCTTTGTTCTGTGATTTCAGATGAAAAACCCCAGCTGAAAAGGTCACACTCAAGGACAATATTAATTTCCTAATGCCTGGCAATGGCAGGAAGGGACACATTCATGGAACACTATATAAGAACATCTGTCTCTAGTCAAGCATGATTTATGGTGCCAGACAGATGCCAGATGAACTCATTAAAGCTGACAAAGTCTCAAGAAAGCAATGTTTACCAGATTTATCATTTTTATGATTGTAAGAGAACAAGGAAATCACCCAAGTCATTCATCATCATACAGCACTTCCAGTTCCAAAGAATACTGACTTACGTCGGGTGATAGCACTCTACCATTTTTAACTTTTTCATCCACAATGTTTCTTCCACTCTGGAGCTGATCCTTTTCTTTCTGGAGGGCTTGAACTTGTTCTGAAATCCTTATTTTCTCCTCAGCTGAGCTGCTCTGGAGTTGAATACTCTTTTCACACAACTCTTGGTCCAACAAATTCAAGCGACTTGATATTTTCAAACTATCTGTGTTTAAGGCCTAAAAAGACACAACCCCCAGATATCCCAAAAACAGTTACCAGAAATCCACACTACTTATAAAGTAGGAAAAACAGAGAAATTACTTAATGAACGCATTTTTAGCTTTCACATTATTATTTTCTCCCATGGGTTTTTTTTTTTTTGGAGAGTCAATCTTAAGTTGAATGCCTTAAAAAAAAAAAAAAATGAATTTACTACCAAGAATACCTTGGCTAGTGTTTTTCCTTTTTTATTATTTTCTTAATTGAACTTTATTCTTTCTTAGTTTCTTTTTTTTATTATTTATTTTTTAGTTGGACACAATACCTTTATTTTGTTTATTTTTATATAGTGCTGAGGATCGAACCCAGGGCCTCACACGTGTTAGGCGAGCGCTCTACCGCTGAGCCACAACCCCAGCCCTTTCTTAGCTTCTTATATTGTAGAATTGCTACAATTTCCTAGAGGTTGAGATTTGATGTATGGGTAACGTACAATTGTTTTTATTCTTATTTTATTCTGATCAGAAAATATGGAGAAATCTGGTCAGATTTATGGAGATGTTTATTATAGATTAATTCAAGATAACTTGTGAAATATTTTTATCACAGTAATTTATATATATATATATATATATATATATATGTACACATACAGATATAGATACATATGTAAACACATACATACTGCTGCCATATGGTTTATAATATACACATGTATATACTATGAAAAAATTTATCATTTTGAAAAAGTAGTCCTTTGTCTCAACCTTTTACCTGTGGCCCACTCCCCAGAAACAGCCTCCTTCAACAATTGTTTATGTTTATGTCCATATTTCTAAATAACATTAATTTTAGATATTGCCTACTGTCTGTATATTATGGGATTTAGTACTCTTACACCTCCTCTTCTTTACTTCTTCTCCACCTCCATTTTCCCAATGTAAGTTATATTACAGTTCTGAGTTAAATCAATATTTGATTACCTTTTATGACTTTGTGACTATCATTAACTTGATTATGACCTCATGGCTATTAGTTCACAGCTGAACTAATATTAAAATGATCATACTTCCATTTTATATAATTTTTTGTACCTTACAACTAATTCTTCTTCAATAAAAGTATAAAATTCCTTTCTACACTCTTCATTTGATCAAACTTATCAGGAAATCTTTTCAGACCCCTTTTGTCCAGAAACAATTTGTCTGGGGCCTTTATCCTCCTGATCTCCCACTGGGAAGTATACTACCAGCATTCCAGTGAGGGTCAGGAAATGCATGTCTCAGAATTCATATGTAGACTTGCATTTGTTCCCTGTTTTGAGTATTCTAATTGATCCTGACCCTTTGCTGGGCCTGGTTCAATCTTCAGAAAATAAATCATATTGTCCCAGGGCAAAAAAGAATACGTTCCTTCAATATACTGTTTCTAGCCTATGCCTCACTTCAGCCTTGTGAAAATCTCAGCCCATTCATTTGATGTTATATGTGAATTACATTCCAATACAGTTGATATTTTTTAAAAAGCTAAAGGCTTGGCCCTCATTTGTGCTCCTCTCTCTATGTACTCCAGTCTTCTGTTCTACTAAGACAGTAACCACTCATCTATCTGCTTTGCATCTAACAGACTTCTTTTTTTAATTCTTGTTCTCTGGTACTCCTCTACTTTCTTTACAGCTTTCTTCTGAATATCAGCTTTAATGAGATATAATTCACGCCATACTATTCTCATCAATTTAATGTGTATAAATTGGTTTTAGTAAATGCAGTTTTGCAACCATAATCAATTTTTAAAAATTTTCATCATCTCCTCGAAAACAAACTCCATACCCATTAGTAGTTATTCCATTTCCTCCCTAGTCCCTTACCAACCTAGGCAACCACTATTCTACTTTTTTTTTTTTATTTAGAAACAGGGTCTCTTTCTCTTTTTTTTTTTAATATTTATTTTTTAGTTATCGGCGGGCACAACATCTTTGTTTGTATGTGGTGCTGAGCATCGAACCCGGGCCGCATGCATGCCAGGCGAGCGCGCTACCGCTTGAGCCACATCCCCAGCCCAGACCTTTTTTTTTTTAGAGAGAGAGAGAGAGAGAGAGAGAGAGAGAGAGAGAGAGAGAGAGAATTTTTAAATATTTTTTAGTTTTTGGTGGACACAACATATTTTTATGTGGTGCTGAGGATGAACCCAGCGCCCTGCACGTGCCAGGAAAGTGCGCTACTGCTTGAGCCACATCCCCAGCCCCAGCACTATTCTGCTTTCTATCTCTATGGAATTACCTATACTGGATAATTGATATAAATGATATTATACAATGGTGGTCTATTATGACAGGTGTATTTCACTCATAGTGTGTTTTTTTAATTAATTGTTTTATAAGACAGTGGAATGCATTACAATTCTTATTACACAAATACAGCACAATTTTTCATATTTCTTGTTGTATACAACATATATTCACACCAATTTGTGACTTTATACATGTACTTTGGATGATCTCCATCACATTCCACCACCATTTCTAACTCCATACCCCCTCCCTTCCCCTCCCATCCCTCTATCCTAACTAGAGCTCATCTATTCCTCCCATGCTCCTCCTCCCTTAACCCCACTATGAATCAGCCTCCTTATATCAGAGAAAACATTCAGCATTTGGTTTTTTGGGATTGGTTAACTTCACTTAGCATTATCTTCCCTAACTCCATCCATTTACCTGCAAATGCCATGATTTTATTCTCTTTTAATGCTAAGTAATATTCCATTGTGTATATATGCCACATTTTTTTTTATCCATTCATCTGATGAAGGGCACCTAGGTTGGTTCCACAGTTTAGCTATTGTGACTTGTGCTGCTATAAAATACATTGATGTGGCTATGTCCCTGTGGTATTCTGTTTTTAAGTCCTTTGGGTATAGACCCAGAAGAGGGATAGCTGGGTCAAATGTGGTTCCATTCACAATTTTCCAAGAAATCTCCATATTGCTTTCCATATTGGCTTCACCAATTTGCAGTCCCACCAGCAGTGTATGAGTGTATCTTTTCCCCACATCCTCACCAACACTTACTGTTGTTTGTATTCATAATAGCTGGTATTCTGACTGGAGTGAGATGAAATTTTAGAGTAGTTTTGATTTGCAATTGCTAGCAATGATGAACATTTTTTCATATATTTGTTGATTGATTGTATATCATCTTCTGAGAAGTTCAGGTTGTTGGCCCATTTATTTATTGGCTTATTTGGTTTTTTAGTGCTTAGCTTTTTAAGTTCTTTATATACCCTAGGGATTAGTGCTCTATCTGATGTGTGAGGGGTAAAATATTTGCTCCCAAGATGTAGGCTCTCTATTCATCTCACAGATTGTTTCTTCTGCTGAGAAGAAACTTTTTAGTTTGAGTTCATCCCATTTATTGATTCTTGATTTTAATTCTTGCGCCAAAGGAGTCTTATTAAGGAAGCTGGGGCCTAATCCCACATGATAGAGATTAGGGCCTACATTTTCTTCTATTAGACACAGGGTCGCTGGTTGTGTTCCTAAGTCCTTGATCCTTTTTGAGTTTTGTGCATGGTGAGAGAGATGGGTTTAATATCATTTTGTTGCATATGGATTTCCAGTTTTCCCAGCACCATTTGTTGAAGAGGCTATCTTTTCTCTAATGTATATTCTTGGCACCATTGTCTAATAAAAGATCATTGTAATTTTGTGGGTTAGTCTCTGTGTCCTCTATTCTGTACCATTGATCAGTCTATTTTTGCGCCATTACCATGCTGTTTTTGTTACTATTGCTCTGTAGTATAATTTAAGGTCTGGTATAATGATGCCAACTACTTCACTCTTCCTATTAAGGACTGCTTTAGCTATTCTGGGTCTCTTATTTTTCCAGATGAATTTCATGATTGCTCTTTCTATTTCTATGAGAAATGTCATTGGGATGTTGATTGGAATTGCATTAAATCTGTATAGTGCTTTTGGTAGTATGGTCATTTTGATAATATTAATTCTGACTATCCAAGGTCTTCTTTGATTTCTTTCTTTAGGGTTCTCACAGTGTGTTTTTAAGGTTCATTCATGTTGTAGCTGGCATCACTAATTAATTACTGTAAGTTGTCAAATAATAATCCATTGTATGAATAGATCACAGATTGTTTATACATTCAGCAGATGATGAACATCTGTATTGTTTTCATTTTTAGCTGTTATGAATGATGTTGATATGAACATTTACATTTGAGATTATATATGGATATATGCTTTCATTTATATACCTAGGAGTGGAATTTCTGGGTCACATATTACCTCTAATGTTTAACCTTCTGAGGAACTACAAGATGGTTATCCAAAGTACCTGCACCATTTTACAATCCTGCCAGTACTGGATGATCTATTTTGAATTAAATTTGTGTATAATGTGCATATATTTCCTTTCTGTCATTTTAGTGGGGTAATATGTATGTGTACAGTCCATCATGTTCATTGTCTGAAATGCATATAATTAAGTCTTTTCTTTTTTAATATATCTTTTTTTAGTTGTAGATGAACGCAATACCTTTATTTTATTATTTTTATGTGGTGCTAAGGATTGAACTCAGTGCCTCACACATGCTAGGCAAACTCTCTACCATTGAGCTACAACCCCAGTCACTATAATCAACTCTTATAACTACTTCTCAAGCACTGGAAAAGATGTAATATTTTTATTGCTTTTGTTCAGAAAACAATGCAACAGACTAACAGTCACAAGCTTCTCTTCTGTTTCATTAAAACAAATTTTAAAATTTTTGTTTTACTTTATTGTGGCTTTCATTTATTATACTTCCTACTTATCTCAGAATGTTCTTGCTTCCTAAATATTACATCTCACTGAAAACAGAAAATAGATGTTTTCATTTGTGAAGTAAACTTACTTTAGGGAAAATATTTTCCTTTCTCCTTTTTAAATTTCCCTTCTCTTTTGTGATACAGAACATATCATAAAAAGCCAGGTAATTTTCTTCCATTACTCACCTGAGATTTTAATTTGTTAATCTTTCCCTATTATTTTCATGTTTGGAGGAATACATTTTACAATTTGACCCTGAAAGCCTGGTTTAGCAAGTTACTTGGATATAGTACAAACAAGCAGGCTGGCTGCAAGAGCCACCCTAATCTTGTGTTGAGTGGCCTGAGGCTAAAAGCTATTCCAACATAGACTGGGAAATGGAGCACTAAGCAGAGGTAAGTATAGGTCCCCATTACTAACCTCTTATATCAATGTGGAGAGGTTAAACACCACCAATAACTCATATCCTACTGGCCTAGATAATCACTGAAAGGAAGTCTAATAGAGGAAGTCTGTTTCATGAGTGAGTGTGTAGACTGAACCCAGACCCAAAACTAACTGGAGGTAAAGTTAATAGGTCTTCTTTAGGTCTGGGCAAGCCACTTTCATTTTAAAATGCTATTGTTAAAAATATGTATCAGTAGGTAAAAAAAAAAAAATATTTCTGGTCCTGCACTCATTCAAAGTTGAAACGGAGGCAAATTCATTAATAAAACTACTTAACTAGCTTATAAAATCCAAGTCCTGCAGGAAAAGTTTTTATAAAGGTCCTCAAAATCTTTATAAATTAAAAAAGTAAATAAATCTTCATTATACAAAATCTTTCTTCTATAGGAAACTTGCAAAACCCTAATTGGGTAGTAGTAGCAACTAGAGATTTCAATACTATTTTTCCAAATTATTAAAGTTCGCTATCAAACTTATCAAATGGTATGTTTTATTTAAAACATCCACTAAAGCTACTAATAGAGATTACCAGGGACTGGAAGGAGGTGAACTTAATGGTTACAGAACTGCTGTTTGGGGGAATTAAATTTTGGAAATAGTGATGATGGTCCTACAACATTGAAGATGTAATTAATACCACTGAACTGTATACTTAAAAGTGGTTAAAATGGTAAATTTCATGTTTAGTATTATTTTACTACAATAAAAAAGTTAATGATAAATCAGATTTTCAAATAACATTGAACATTTTACTCCAAAATTGCAACATATTTTGGTGAAGGTCATTTGGATAAGTAGTAGCAAACTACACTGAAAATAAGAATAATTTATTTTGGTTTCCAACTTTACAATGGTATGATTTACCTCTTAGAGAAAAAGAATCCTAAAACCAGAAAAACAAATTAAATAGAATACCTGACTAGATCTCAACTTCTTATTTTCCAGGAGGCTCTTTTCCTGTAGTAGGGCCTCCTTCTTAGAAACTATGGCTTCCCATTTCTTTAAGTCTTCTTCTAGCTCTTCTAATACTTGGCGTTGGTTCAGAACTTTCTCTACTTCTTCATCTAACCATTTCTTTTGTTCATCCAATTTCTAGATTGAAATTACAAAGATAATGTTATCATTTATTTTTTCCTTTTTCCATAAAAATCATAGGATAATAATGTAATTTCAGATTGCTGAAACCTCTGAAATGCACACTGAAGGCTGTCAGTAACTCATGTTCGCGAAGAAGTAAGTGGTTCTAGTTAACATGTTGCTGTATTGTTTTATAAGAAATTAAAATTTATTCTCCAGACATCTTAAAAAGTCCGGGATATTTTAGCCTAAAAAAGAAAGGGCAGACAAAATCCTTTACTTATATTAAGAACACACTGGGAGGTGGGTGTGGTGGTGCACTCCTGAAATTCCAGTGACTTGAAAGGCTAAAGCAGGTGAATCACAAGTTTGAGGCCAGACTCAGCAACTTAGACCCTGTCTCAAAATAAAATTTAAAGAAAGGGCTGGGGATATAGCTCAGTGGTAAACTGCCCCCGGGTTCAATCCCCAGTACCACCAAAAACAAAAAAATCCACACTAGGAATCTTTCTCTATTGCAGAGGTATATATATATGAATATACACGTATATATGTGTGTATATGTGTATATGTGTGTATATATATATATATATATATATATATATATATATATCTCCACCATAATAAATTTAAAAGATGAGTAAAAAAAATCCTTTGTAAGCTCCATCCAATAAGAGAAAAACCAAAAAGATTATGATTGAAGACATTTCTGGATGAAAAGGAAGCACGGGGGAATACATCCATGCCCTAAATAGCACTATTAAAACAAAACAGGGTTGGGTCTGTGGTTCAGAGAGGTAGAGTACTTGCCTACCATGCGTGAGACACTGGGTTCGATCCCCAGCACCACATACAAATAAAATAAAGATATTGTGTCCACCTATAACTAAAAAATAAATATTAAAAAATACATAAAATTTAGGAAAAGAGAATAATTTTTTCAAAATTAAGAAGGACATATTTGCATTTTGAGTATAATTATAATTCTAAAGTACATTATTTTTCTTAAATAAAATTTTCAGTTTCTTTGAACTTCGAAGTTAACTTATGGACAATGATTGTTTATTTTTAAAATATGGCACTAAAATAATAGTTCTTTATATATTACATATACTATTCATACAATTTAGTATTGTTAAAAGGAAAGCTCTGAGTTTTAGAAATATACCTGATTATAGGGGAATAAATCTAGTGAACATGGATTTCATGTTCACCTTCCACAAAATTCAAATAAACCCCATTCTACTGAAGTAAGAATATAGTACATTTCTGAATGAGAAAATAATTTTAATAACAGAAATTTCAGAAGAAATATTAGAAATTTTGCACCCACCCAAGTGGCAAAAACCCCTAGAATTTGAAGATTTACTCACAGTCCACTACTTTTTGCCACTATTTATATAATCATCAAAATTGAATAGAGCCGGGCACAGTGGTGCATGCCTGTAATCCCAGTGGCTCAGGAGACTGAGGTAGGAGAATCAAGAGTTCAAAGCTAGCTCAGCAACTTAGAGAGGCCTTGAGCAACTCAGTGAGTTGCTGTCTCTACATAAAATACAAAAAAGGGCTGAGGATGTAGCTCAGTGGTTAAGTGCTCCTGAGTTCAAATCATCCCCATACCAAAAAAAAAAAAAAAAAATTGAACAGAAACTAGAAACACTAAATAGAAATGACAAACCTGGAGTTGGTCTATACTTCCAAAAGAACCTTTTCTCCTTTTCAAGTGAAATGCATCAAAGTCCTCAACTTTCGGTTTTAGACTTTCTTCCTGTTCTGTTTTTAACTGTAGTTCCTGTAAAGAAAGAACTTTTTAAAACCTTATCACTTTTACTACCTCACTATCATTAAATATGAAGATGATAATTTTCTTTTTCTTTCTTTTTTAGTTTTTTTCTTTTGATGCTGGGGCTTGAACCCAGGGTCTTGCACATGCTTATGTATATACATTACCACTGAGATATACCCCAGCCCAAGAGTGATTTTCTTAACATTTACTTTCCTAATTGCAAAAGGAGACAAAATGAGAGAGTGGGGCTATTTGAAAAGAAAATAATTTTAGCTTTTACTGAGGCAATAAAATCTAACTGCAAAAATCAGGGTTTAGTAACAGAACTCAGCATTTCCCCCCATTCTTTATGAGGATTAGCATAACAAAGGTAAGTCTAAAATTTATCAATGTGCTCTTCTCCTTGCCTTTCTAAGCTCATGACCTCCACAGTTAGTCTACCCAAGACAGCTGTCTGCTGTGGGCATATTAGAATTTATTACAGTAGAAGTACAAAAGAAAAGTAATATGCAAGGTGCTAAAAAATGAGAGTCTTCAGCATAAGAACAGCCTTGCAAGACAGATCATGGGCCTGGTGAAGTGTATTTTCCAAATTCCTTTAGTTTCCATCCACATCTTAAGGGCCAAGTCAAGAGGCCCAATGTTCATAATCTTTCCTTGGATTCAGAGATGCTGTTGCAGTCCACCACTAAGGCCTGGCAGGAACCAAAGAGGTGGCCATGGTAAACAGCCCAGTCTGCATACTGTTTGTTATTGGTCCATGATAGATTAATAGAGAAATTGAAAGTAGGTGTTTAGAGACTTATGGATAGCAGTTTGACAGTACTGTTTTATGTCTATTTACTCCAATAATGTTTTTAAAAGGACTTTCAGCTGCTTCCAGTGGCACATACCTGTTATACCAGCTGCTCAGGAGGCTAAGTAAAGAGGATTGCAAGTTCAAGACCAGCCTGGGCAACTTAGCAAGCCCCTGTTTCAAAACAAAATTTATAAAGGACTAGGTATGTAATTCAGTGGTAGAACACTTGCCTAGCATGTGCAAGGCCCTGGGTTTAATCTTCAGTGCGTGCACACGCATACATGCAACTTTATTTCAAATTTCTACTAATTCATATCTAGTAAAAGTATTGGGTTAGGACAAATTTGTAATGAAATAAAAACTGTACCTTTTCCATGGGTAATTTCAGAAGCACAAATAAAATGAAAGTAAAAGGATAAACTACCACTTTTCAACCCTGGGGATGGCAGAAAGAAGAAAAGAGTAATAAAGATCTGTGTCTCAATTGTCCTCTCATTTTGGCCCAGAAAGGGAGTAATAAGTAAAGATTATCATAAAAGGACCCTAAATTCATGTGGGAGAGAGGAATATGGCAGTGCAGAGGCTCTACACCCATGTGGGATTGCCCAGCCTCACTGAGACAGCATAAATATGTGGTTAGGAAAGATTAGTCTCCTTGGTGTCATGTGGCATAAATAGTGAGTTGAGAGGCCAATGCCTGCTAGTCATTATGGGGAATAGGTCCCCAAACTGAGAATAAACCCAGGCCCCTGGAGTAGCAAGCTAGACAGAAGACCCTATAGCCTCAACAAGAGTTTATATTCTAGGGGAGATGATATAAAGCCTAAACACTCCCATACTCTAAAATGGCAGACAGACCAGCCTATGAATTATTCCAGCCTTGGGCCTAATCATCAGGGGTCAGCAGGTTATGTAGGGTTAAGGTGAACAAAAGAGAGCAGATTCTAGCCAGTCGCATGCCTCAACTCTATGGGATGCAATCAAAGAAATCCACACTCAACTACCACAAACACTGGATGCTATCTTGATGAGAGAAGCAAGGGAGGAAGAAGTTAAGGGACTGGACATTCTTATTCAAGAGACCTAAGAATTATTTAAAGGAAATGTTTACATTTTCAGGTAAAGGTCTGAACAAACAGGACATCTGGTTAGTTCTCACTACATTTTCAGCAATTTTCATGCAAAGAATGGTGGGGGGAAAGGGTGCTCACAAAGAAGATAGGTCTGCTAAAGACTAAAACAAAAAAACTTTCTATGCCCATCTGAGTTGTATTGAGTGAATTTGCACCCCCCCCCCCTTTACCATCAGTTCCTTCCCCCTAGACCTGGGTTCACTTAACTCTTCTCATAGTCCCAGCAAAAGCCACCTTAAATAACAGCACCTTATACTTGGAGTTAAATCTCTACTATTCCTAGCCATCCACATAACCTTTAAAAGTATACTGCAGTAGGTCTAATTCTCTCACATGTTGCTCCAGACATTATTGTGTGTTTATATTATAATCCCTGTTACAGAATCAAAATAACTGTGCAACAGGCACTGGATAGACTTTTTAATTTTACTTAACTAATTTTCCCATTTCATCTTCACAATGTTATGAGACATTGTGCTGCGGCATTTGGTGGCTCGCACGGGGAGCGACTGAGGGTAAGTGAACTGCTCGCCCCTGAGGGCAGGGCGAGAGGATGGGTAGCCATTTTAAGATTCTTCTTTTGTTATTTTGTTTCACTTTTGTTTTAAGTTGCCTGTCCCTGGAGATGTGTAAGATGGAAGAAAAACCGCTCACATCTGAGGAACAGATAGGGAGAAAGGACGGATGGACATTTCAGGAGGCTATTATAATGATTTTGTGTTGTTCCAATTTTGTTTCACTCAGTTTCAGTTTTGTTAGGCGTTATCTTGTTGGGTTGTATTATAGTAGAAATACGGGATCAGAAATTAGTAAAAAACAAACTGAAAGAGTGTTAAGTAAATTGTTAGAGGAAGGAGGCATCTCAGTAAAATCAAGAACAATCAGGGCATACGTTGATACAATACAAAAATGTAGCCCATGGCTTTTTAAGGAGGAGTTGTTAAATATATCACAATGGAACCATCATGGTGAAGATTTAAAAAGAATAGAAAAGAAAAGCCCAGGGACTCTGCCAGTTGGCACATTGCCATTGTGGACGTTCATATCTTGTTCGCTTAGTTCAAAGCCTTCAGTTCAGACAATGGTAGAGGAAGAAGAAGACATAATGATTCAAGTAAAAGAGAAGGTCTCTCAAGTTAGTCAGACAGAGGAAAAGATTCAAGTAAAAGAGAAGGCCTCTCAAGCTAGTCAGACAGAGAAAGAAAGTGTAAAACAGAAAAAGCCATCAGGGGGAAAGTTACAACAGGAGACTGCTACGAACACCTTTCTATCACCAGAGGACGTAAGTGTCCAACTAACAAGGCCACCTCCATATGCTGGGAGGTCCCCAACCCCCGCAGTTGATAGTTGGGATCCTGAGACAAGATCTCAAATATTAACATGCCCTGTATTTGAGGCAGGAGGGCAGCGATTTTACCAAGTTTTAAATTTCAAAACAGTGAAGCAGCTAAAAGAGGCTGTAACAACCTATGGTCCTCAAGCACCCTTCACTGTAAGCATGGTCGAATCCATTAACAACTTGAACATGACGCCAGCAGATTGGGCTAATATGTGTAAAGCTGCGCTAAATGGAGGACAATACCTGTTATGGAAGGTTGCCAATGAGGAATTTTGCAAGGAGACGGCTAGGCGAAATGCAGCAGCTGGTTATCCTCAGAGAAATCTAGATATGTTGTTAGGAAAGGGACCTTATGAGGATCAGCAGCAACAAATTGCATATGATCCTGGCGTATACGCACAAATTGCTGCAGATGCAATTGAGGCATGGAAGACTTTACAAGGACATGGAGGTTTACAAGGTCAATTATCTAAGGTAATACAAGGAGCTAATGAACCTTATGCTGAATTTGTAGATAGGCTTATTCAAACAGCTACCAGAGTTTTTGGGAATACAGAACAAGCAATGCCATTACTAAAACACCTGGCTTATGAGCAAGCGAATCGTTGGTGCAGAGATATCATTAGACCATGGAAACATGAAGATTTAAACACATATATTAAATTATGTAGAGACATTAATGAACAAGAGCAAGTCGTGGCAGCTGCAGTAAAACAGGCTTTAGATGCCAGAGACATTAATGAACAAGGGCAAATTGTGGCAGCTGCAGTAAAACAGGCTTTAGATGCCAGGCCAAGAACATGCTACAATTGTGAACAAACAGGACATTTTAAAAGGAATTGCCCCATTGGAGGAGGGTTTAAGAAAACTAGGTATCAAAGGAGTAGAATACCAGGTATTTGCCCACGATGCCGTAGAGGGAGACATTGGGCTAATGAATGCCGTTCTCAAACCACCATAGAGGGTACTCCATTATCAAAAAACGAACAAGGACCAGGTGTTTATCCACGATATCGTGGAGAAAGGCATCGGGCTCCATTGCCAAAAAACGGACAGGGGGGCCCAATGCTCCGGGGCCCAAAACCACAAATATACGGAGCACTGGAGGAACCCAGCAACCCCATCAGGGTAGTGCCCAGGACACATTGTCCATCAGATCCCTCATCAGACAAACCAGAGGGAGCGCAGGGTTGGACATCTGCGCCTCCGCCAGAGCAGTACTAACTCCAGAGATGGGAGTTCAAATCATTCCCACAGGGGTGAAAGGACCTCTTCCCAAAGGAACAGTAGGCTTATTATTGGGACGCAGCTCTTCTACTCTAAAAGGACTTATGATAAGTCCTGGGGTAATTGATCCCGATTATGAAGGTGAAATAAAAATTATAGCCAGTTCTCCAAAGGGTATATCAGTAATTTCACCAGGAGATAGAATAGCACAGTTACTAATAATACCCAGCCTACATGATAAATTTTCCAGTCGTACTGTAGAAAGAGGTTCCAAGGGATTAGGCTCCACAGGTGTAGATTTGGCTGTGCGCTGTTTAAATTTAGATTCTCGCCCCATGCTAAAACTAAATATTCAAGGACATGAATTTAATGGGCTACTGGATACAGGTGCAGACCTTAGCATCATCTCTCGTCAAGAATGGCCAAAACATTGGCCATTACAACAAGCCACTCAAACGCTTCGAGGCCTAGGAGTGGCGACTAATCCCCATAGAAGTGCAATGGTATT